TCCGCATCTGCGGAAAAGGGACCGCATAAGCGGTTCCACAGATGCGGCTAAGGGGTCGCATAAGCGGTTCTGGAAGGCTTGGAACTCTTCCGCAAAAGCGGACAAGGGTCCGCACAAGCGGCAACCGCAGGTGCGGTTTAAGACCGCAGAAGCAGTCCCTGGGGATTTAAGTGAGATCGCAGAAGCAATCATTTGGTCGCGGATGCGGTGACCACAGGTGCGGTAATTTAACCGCAGGAGCGGAAATCGACCTGGAATTAAAGTGAACAGTGTTCACGAATTTGAAAGAGAAGGAAAACTATTTTGGACTTCGACTTAGGCGGTTTCTTGGGCGATTTTGAAGAGAATTCGTAGGGGTTTAATCAGGTATGAATTATGGGACTCGGATTATGTTATTATGGTGTAAAAACATGGATTTATCACTGAAATTCAAGGGATCAAATGCTAAAAATGGGTTAAGCTAGGGCTTGAAAGGCTAAGATATAAAAATGGATTTTGAAAGGGCATTTGAACCCCGATTTTGGTAAATTTGATATGTATAGACTCGTGACGAGACGAGGAGTCCGGTGATGTAAATTTTGTAATTTTTTCAATAAGCGGGCCCGGGACTCGGGTTTTGCTAACTTCGTAAATTTTGGTGTTTTTCGAGTCTTTTCGATTGGGTTATGCTTCTTTTGCTTATTGTAATGAATTCGTTGTGGTTTTAATCAGATTCGGCGCGCAAAGAGGTTGATTCGAAAGGCAAAGGCATAGGGAGCTAGACTTGTGGCCGGCTTGAGGTGAGTAATAGACGTAGATGATGACCTGAGGGTTTAAAACCCCGGTATATCACATTGTGACGCTATATTGAGGCGAGACACGTACTCTATGACGAGTGCGGGGTCGATTGTGACTGGGGATTTGACCTAGTCCGTTCCGATTGATGTTCGTACTGTGTTCTTGACTAGAAATTGGTAGTAATCATCTTACTTGGGTTTTATGAATATGTTTGGGGCCTTGTGCCTATCATTTGCATCCTTCAGGGATTCTTATCACTGTTCCCATGATACTTAGCATATTTCATGATATCAGTCCTAAGTTAGACACTGCCTTGAAATGTTTGTAAATAAATAAAGGTTACACACTTAGCTCTATAATTCCTAATAATTGAAACTAAAAATGGACAATTTGACTGTGCCCGAGTGGCTTGCATGCATATATATATCTGGACTGAGTGTGGATCGGGCTGCACGCCGCAGCGAATGCTACGATGATATTGCGCTTGGGCTGTAGGAGCCCCTCCGGAGTCTGAACCCCCATAGTGAGCGCGGGTACCCAAATGGATCGGGCTGCGCACCGCAGCGGTCATGTGTATTGCATTGCCTTCATGCATTTTATATCTGTTGGTCTTAATTGTCATTGTCTGCTGTCGTTTCATCATTTAATGTGCTGAATCGTTGATTATAGCTTTATATTGTAATATTTCGGGATTTCTTACTTTCAGTCATTATATATGTTTATTACTCACTGAGTTGGAAGTACTCACTTTACTCCCTGCACCATGTGTGCAGATTCAGGTGCTCCGGAGACTTAGTGGAGCTGTTTGCTGTCTACTTGGATTTCGGTTTAGGAGTTGTTGAGGTAGCTGCCTGACGTCCGCAGGACCCGACTTCTCCCCTTTTATTTCATTTGTCTTTCCATATTCTAGACTTCTTTATTACTATGGATATATATTACTCTGTTACATCTAGAGGCTCTAGACTCGTGACTCCAGATCTGTTGGGGAATGTTGGGAAATTCGTTATTATTTTCCATACTATTTTATTTAGTTTCGGATTGGAACCTTGTTATTTGCTATTTTAATCGTATTATTTGTTAACGGATTGTGTATTTGTGTTGAGAGTATTTAAATTGGTCGGGCTTGCCTGGCATTAGTGTTGGGTGCCATCACGACCGGGATTGGGGTCGTGACACGTGTTTAGGATTTTGGACTTGAAAATCGGAATTGAACCAATAAAGAAATACTTCATAATTGTTACATGGTTTAGAGATTTCAAAAGGAAAACGAGAAATAGTATTCTTGGGTTTTTAATGCTTCATCTTTTGCATAAAAAAAAAAACAATTTGGTTCCATGCAATTTCGATTTTTGTATCATGAGCAGTGGCGGATCCAGACTTTTGTGCAAGCGGGTTCAGACAGATATTAAAATTTATCTGACAGTAGAAGTAATATTACTGGACAAAAAATGAGTTCTACCCTCCGCTCTTTATGTTATTTCATAATAAATCTTAACAAGTATTTGCCCACTACTCTTTATTTTCTTTTGATGTCATGCTCCAAAAAAAACAAATTTATGTATGTACCTTTTAAAATATAACCATTTACTAAACTTCAATTCTTTTTAAACTGTTTTACTTCACGAAAATCAATTCAATCTATACCAAAATACTAAGTAATTTACTTATTTATTAAATTTAACAAAATTAACATACGCTAAAATACTTACTGTAACAATCTAATCAGTGCTAACAATTAATAGAACTAAAAACTAACATAAAATTAAAGGTTTTAACAGTATAAGAATTTAACGAGAAACTTTTAGGAAGCAACAACAAGGAATAGGTAAGGAATACAGTATAAAACATTTGAAACTTTCAAATTAAAAAGGTGAAACTTAAGACAGAAGAATATTTGAAGAAACAATAAAAGATAATCACTATTGATAAATTGTACAATACCTTCAATTGGGCACTTTTAAAATAGTACTCGTTCAGAAGAATACATGAATCTTAAGATGACCCCGCTTGAGCCATCATGTCATGACTTTGTATAGTTAAAGTGGGTTCAACTTGTTACTTTTGTACGTAGCTGTTTTCTCAGCAATATAATTTTCATATAAAAATAATGATATTTTTTGACGAAGCGGATTCAGTTGAACCCGTTTGAACCAACGTAAGTCCGCCCCTGATCATGAGCGAGACCTAGGTACATGTTTTTGTAAGCCCCTACGCCTAACATGTCACTTTACCTAACAAACCTACTGAATATAGATCTTTCGAAAACTTTATGTGACCCAGAATATATTACACAACAGTAAGCTTAGTTTCGAAGATCAAAAGTGACGAAGAAAATTTCAATTGCAGCTAAGAAAGAATCCATGACCAACGAGAAACTTGGTTAAAAATGCATTATATTAGGTAGCTTTATAGGGAATATGTTGATATCAAATTATTCTAATGAACTTATGCATTAATCTAAAAGAACCAATGATGAGTAAACGTTGAATTGGACACCAATGCTAAGATTTATATAGGTAGTGAAGGTAGGGCACACCATCTTCAAAGTTTAATGAGCAAAACTTTTGACTATTAACTTTAAAGGTTCCCTCATTGATCCAAGATATTCACAAGACATATAGTTAAGTTTGTGACTTCAAATATTCACAAGACATATAGTTAAGTTTAGGTGTCATTTGTAGATCATTTTAACCTTATGTATATACGTAAGGTTCTAATGCTTGTTCGTGAAATTGTATTTGAATAATTAGTGCTAAAAAAGATTAAGCATAACATGCATTGTAAATCCATAACATGTACATAAGTTTGGACTTATTCAATATAAAATGATAAAACCCACTGTAGATCCAGTCTAGCTTAATAATGTTTCAAGAAAATTCGTGTCAGATCCCATTTGTTAAAGAAGTAAATTAAAAAAAAAAAAGAGTGGCGACAAGAATTAACAAAGGGAAGTTGTTTTGATATTTAGAGAATTTCGTATGGCGTTTTAAACTATACATCAAGCACAAGAAAGACATGCAGATGGTCACCCATCTCAAAAAAATTGGACACCCAAAACCCCATTAATTCCAAAACTAGAAATTAAAAAAGAAAAAAATATAAAAAAGAAAAATTACAAAGACCTCCTCTTCAGATTTGAACTTACAATTATATCCCTTGCTACCTGATATATATTAGTGTATTACACTAAGAATATAGTGGGACTTGAAAACTTTACAGTACGTCCAATGGAAAAGGAAATAATTCAAATGAAAGGTAGTAGGCAGGAAATAATTCAAGTTGACATGTCCTTTTTTCAATTAACACAACACACATTCAAATGAAAGGTAGTAGCGATTAATGACTTATGACTCCCTGAACTTTATAACCGTATAACATAATGTCACAACAACAACAATAACAGTATAATCTCACTAGTGGGGTCTGGGTTAGGGGCGGATTTAGGGGGGCGAGAGGGAGTTCACCCGAACCCCCTTCGCCGAAAAATTACACTGTATATATAAGGCAAAATATGTTTTCTACCTCTATATATTAAGTTTTGAACCCCCTTACACAACCTAAAGGTCAAGGGGGTTCAAAACCTTTATAAGGTCATAGGTTCAATACCCACTAGCTACCAAAAAAAAAAAATTTGAACCCCCTTCGTGGAGATCCTGCCTCCGCCACTGGTCTGGGGAGAGTAATGTGTATGCAGACCTTACCCCTACCTTGGGGTAGAAAGCCTGTTTTCGATAGATCATCGGCTTCCCTCTTTCCGAAAATTCCCCACCTTGCTCTTGTGATGACTCGAACTCACGACCTCTTGGGTGTCAATTATAAGGTTTTTTTTTTTTTTTGGCAAATCTAAGAACTTGAAGAAGGGCCTTTGAACTTTCAGTGTAAGCCCTGACATTATTACAAGTAAAATTAAATAAGTGGTCCATGTCAAGTTCTGGACCCCTGGTCGGTGACAGGTGTTAGCAGCTAAGTCCTCAACCATAATTTTAAATTTTAAAGCTCTTAAACATATAAAAAAGGCACCGGCCAATTGCATGAATATTTGTGGACCGTCAAAAAGTAAGAATCCTACAATGCATCTAAAGCTTAATAATTTTAAAAAAAAAAAAAAAAAAAAAA